CCAAGTCAGAACCAGTCTTGCTTGCTGATGTAATCTGTCTTGTGTATACCTTTATATGCCACTTCTGCTGAGTTACATTTTGGCCAGTCTTTGCTGCCTTGGAGCTGCTGGTTATGTCTCTGCACATGGGTGCATGATGGCCTCAAATTTTCCATGGGAGTGATATGTTTCCACAGCACCTTCTAAAATATCTAAACAAAGGCACCTGGTTTGATAGACCAAGAGACAATACCAATATCAATTAAGGCACAAGCTGTAAGTTATCTTTTGATGGAGAAGTGGAAAAGCGTACTGAAAAAGAGTGAGGTTGCTCTGCTGAACTGGAAGCTGACTGGCTCAAGGCAGCTCTAGAATAAGAGCTGAAAAGCTTCATTAGAGCAGTGTTGTGCCTTAGTGACAAATGCTGCTGAGCGTCAGGGCAGAGTGCCATACTACTGTTGCTAGAGAGCATCCAGGACAGAATTTGCTTATACCAATTCTGGGCAATTCTGTGTAAAGGTTTTGGTTGACATGCACCTTTCTGTTAGATATTTCTACCTGAGAATACCCTGAAATGACCATATTAAATATATATATGTATTAATGCTTCCCTTTCCTCTGCAAATTTAGATTTAATTTTGGAAAGATCTTAAAATGAATCCTGAGAGGCAGTCATCCTTTCATTTATATTCAGTGTGAATTAGTTTGGAATTCCTTGTGATTTCTGTCATGGCAAGTATGTAGGAACATTCTGGCACAGCTTGTACGGTTGTGACTTCTTCTCCCTGCCCTTTTGTGAAGAAAAGTCAAACATCAGGCAAACTAAGCCACTCTATTACTGATAAGATGCATTTTATGTAAGATTTAAGTAAATCATGCTGTTCAAACATCTTAAATACAAAAAAAAACCATGATTTGGAAAGTTGGAAGGTTTCAGAATGAGTCTGAGAAAAACATTTAGAAGTGATGTTTCCTTAGTACTAGCTGTGCATGAAGCTGCTGTTTTTAAGAGCTGGATACCTGTTAGTAGTGGAAGTGCTGGATCTTGATTTCTCAGAGTTTATTCTGTTGCACATGCAAAAGCTTAGCAAGTTAGAAAGCAGTTTTTTCCATTATGCATCTTTTCCTGTAAGAAAGGGATTCCACAATATAATAAATATTATGTTGCTGTGATCTTTATGTCATTTTTTTTTTAATGAACTTCTTTGATAGAAAGGAGAAAACAACAACTGCTTCTGGAGTAAAGACCTATGAATCCTTTCCCTCAAAAAAGATAAAAAGTGATAGAAGATCTGTCCAGAATTCGTCTCAAGAGGCTGTTCAGGCTCAATTCATGTCTTAGGGCAGGGTCCTGCATCTAAGCTGTTCCGACCATATTTTGTTTTACCTCTTCTCCATTGCTGACAGTTGTAAAGATTCTGTTGTTGCTCAGGTCACTCAAACTAGAACTCTGCTATTCCTGCCATTAGAAAAGATTATTCTTTTTAGGCATTACCTCCTCTCAACACTGCAGGTCCATTCTTGTTTTTTCCTACTTCAATATAAGGCTGCTCTTTCTCATGCTTTTATCAGTGGTCTTGGAGAAAAATGTTCTTTCTAACTCCCTCTAAGATGACGTACAGAAAGTATCATTGTTTTGTTCTTTAAGAAAACTTGTACAGTTATTCCTTCTAAATCTAATGGTTCAAACTTCTGTTTGGTATTGCTGTTCTTTCATGATAGATTCATCCTTCATGGTCAAATCAATTCATCTTTCTTGAAATACAGTAGTCAAAACTGGACATAATATTCCATCTGAGTAGAGTGGAGGGGTGCTCCATCCTCTTGTACATATGGTAGCTCTATTTATAAGTCCCGCATGATACTTTCCTTTTTCTTTGTGAGAGTATGTTTGTTGTCATGTGGTCTGCACATCCTTTCTGATGAAAGCCTCAACAGTTGTTTGCAATATTATTTTAAACAGATGGCTCTTCTCTAAAGTGTATAGCCTTGCATCTGTTCTTAATAGATCTCAGGACTGTGTTTTTGTTCAGACCACTTCCCAGCTTTGTCAGGATTGTTCTGGATTATAACATAGCTTTCTAATACATATTTTGTTCTTCAAGTTATCATCTGTAAATTCAATAAAGAATGCTTTTATTCACTATTTAATACTGAGTAGGCAAACTTCTATGGATTCACCCTTACTTCAGCCTTCCAATTTGGAAGTGATCTTTGGGTAATCAAAGTTCAGCTTTCCAAGCAGTTTTTACCTACTGTGCTATCCTTGTCAGAAGTCCTGCTGAAGTTGAAAAGCATTGTATCTTCTGAATCACAGCTTGAAGGCAAAATATCACTAGTGCAAGTTATGGCAGCACTCCCTATCAGTGAGATGCTTTTGTAATTATTTGTATTAGCAGACATTGTCAAAGCTCCACGTATTTCCTGTCATGGTTCCATGTGAAGGTTTATCACAGCAACTGTATCAACCCTTTCTTTCTCACTTGTCAGCCTTGATGATGGGACAGAAGCTGAGGAGGAACACAGAATTTGGGTTATTTTTTGAAAGGCTTTATACTCTGTCTCAGTTCTTCAGATTTTTATCTGTTACAGCCTCTATGACTTGTATAAATGGAATACACATTCCATTAATTTGGAAAAGGCATGACATCTGTTATCTGGCTTACCATATGGTTGCATCTGGTCATCAGAGTAGAAGTTGGGAATGTTGCTTTATCGATGGGGTAGTTATTTACATGGCAAAAATGTCTATGTGTGCCCATGATAGCAGGGTTACACTTGGAATCATTTTTCAGACTGGGAGAAGCGCCCCTTACTGCCAAGTGGGTATGACTGGGAAGTGAGGCATGAGACAACGCAGGCTTTTCTGACATGTGAGAAGTTCTAAGCCTAACAAAGCGTGATGTGGGCTGAGAACTGAGGGGAGGTATGTGATGTGGTAGCTTCAGAAATCAGGTATATACCTCTAATCACTGGCATGCCTCAAATGTTGAAGTTCTGTTTGTGTAAGAGAATTTAAATCTGATAATGATGTTGCTATGGAGCTCTTTTCTGGTTTTCTCATGCTTGTTTTGGATGGACTAAGGCTACTTATCATAAATTGTAGCTACTTCTGTAAAAAGCATTTACACTTAAAACGTAGAAGCTATTTTTTTTGTTGTTTTTTTTTAATGATGCTATGTCCATAACTCTTTTTCTTTTCTTTTCTTTTCTTTTTTTTTTCCCCAACCAATGTAACAGTCACATTTTCAGTGGTTTTTTAAGTTTTTATCATTTCTTTGGAAGGTGCCGAACATTCTAATCCAGAAGTATGAACAAAACTGGTTAAGAGTAAAAGTTATAAATCACCAGAACTCTAATAATTTTCCCCTTATTTATCAATGCCAGATAATACATTTGTTGGCATTAACACTTCCAGTGCTTCTAAATTTTCTATTTCTGTTGGCCTTGCTGAGCACACAAACCTTGGAAGGCCGATGGTTTGTGAGCTTCCAAAGTATTACAAAGTACCTTTCCAAACTCACGGAGAATTTTTAAGGGGGTAAAATCTGTTCCATTTTTTTCATTAAACTTTTATTTGCAAGAAAGGTGGTTCAACCTGCAAAGGTACTGGTCAGATTGGGCACCTTTGCAGTGAGATTCACCTTGATGGTGAGCTTTGAAATCATTTCAACATAACATTGCCACAATTGTAAGAGCTTCAGAAAATGATTTTTTTCAACTGCCAGAATACTTTGAATGTTCTTTTTCTCATAGTTGGGAAAAATGGAAAAAAGATGACTCAGATGCATATGGGCTTATGAAGAGTCTGTTCTGTCTGTTCTGAATCTAACGAATGCACAAAATGTTAGTGAGTGCTGGCGTTTTTAATAATACCTGCTTTGGAATTAGGCAAGGCAAGATGCACTGAAATGGCACCGTAGCCTTGGTTCTGAGTTACTCTGAGCTGGTAAATATCTGCATTCCACTGGAGATATTGACATTGGGATCTCAACTGAAACTGTGGAAACATTAATTGTAAGGCAAGTGAAAAATTTTGTGTGGGTGTGCCAGCTGAATTTTAAATCTACCGTGCTCTGAGATGAGTGCTTAATTTCTCTGGCCCTCACTGCTATGGCAGAGGCTCCTCTCGATCAAGTTAGTTACTAGTTTAAGTAGAATAAGTAAGGATAAAACCAAATGGCATTAATGACTCTGAGAGCTATTATATGATATGATGAAGTGATTCTCTTTAGACTGCTCGAGTGCTGTGTGCTCTAAACAACTCAAGGAGATCTGTCCATAAGAAGTCTTCTGAAATAATCAGTGTTGTCAAATGCCCTTTGTGGCTGTTTTTTCCAATGTACTTTTACAGCAGTGCAGAATTATAATTGAAATCTCTTAAACTTCAATTAGGAGATGTTATCTTTTTTTTTTTTTCTTTTGCATATGGTTTTCTCATACGTGTTTCTATGGTTTTTCATCCTATCTATAACAATCTATGAGTTTCATCTGTTATTTTTTTAGTTTTTAATACTTCCACTGCAAAGACTTCTTTATCCTCTTTCATTCTGTTTGTTGTTGTTGTTTTAAATTCTCTTTTTTTTTTCTCTAAGCATTGTTTTGCATCTGTTTCTAAGCCAGTCTTCATCTCTTATGTGATATCTTCACTCTTCTACTTGTTCTTTTGTAATAAGTAGAGGAACATAGGACTTGTTTGTATTTTCTTTATAAAACTCTGTATTTGATTTGAGTAATTCTGCACAAAGATTTTTGTGGTGATTTGGGGAGGAGGGAAAAAGGGAAGGAGGAGAGATTGAGGCTTGGAGAAAGCATTAGGCAAAACTCAGGCAGGAATTGTTGTGATTTTGGCAGTGGTAATTATTTTTGAACTTTCTGAACTGCCTCAGAACATTATCACGTTACTGTGTGTGTCATTGTGAGAGACAGAAGGAGTTTATTTTCTCAAAATTCTTACATCTCCTCAGAGAAATGCTTTGGTATTACGTAATTGCTATTGTTCTTTTGTGTGTTTTTCATAGCATCCTCCTGGACAGCTGAGAAGAAAGTACAGTTCCTGCTCCACTATTTTCCTGGATGACAGCACAGTCAGTCAACCAAACCTCAAGTATACCATCAAATGGTGGGTTTGAGATATACGTGTGTGTGTGTGTATATTTACCTGAACCTTTGTTGTATACTGGATATGTATACGCATTTCTTAACCATTACTAGGCAAGTTTTGTAGAGTTGACTTTTTGAAGCAGTGAGTTTGTTTAGTCATATCTTGCTTTAGAGGCGGCGAATAGGATGGGTGAAGGATACTACTCTGATGTTAGTTATGTGCAAAATCAAATTGTTAGTACTGCGTAACTCACAAGAGAGCAACAATTAAGGTTCTTGAATTCTAGCAGCTGAAATCCTTGTGCTCAGCATTCAGTCGAGTACTTGCTTTGGATAAGTTCTCATAAGAAAACTTGTTCCTGATTTCATGTCATTCTGAAAACCTGAATAAACTTCTGAAACTGAAGGACTTTCTTCTATTCCTGAGAAAATGCTAGTTTTCTAAGTTTTCCTTCCAGTTTTCTGTTTGAAATGAAAATTAATTGACTCCTGATTCATTTCCTTGTTCAGTACTGAGACACTGGCACTTGAGTGCACAGCAGTGAGGAGCTTTGTATGTGGTGTCCACGTGGACTTATCCTTGGGGACACTGCAGATGTTCATTTCAGGTTTTGATAATGCACTTGTCTATTTAGAGAAAAATTGTATTAATAGTGTTTTAATTTTTACATATTGTACAGTAAGGGTAAAAATCTGAGAATGGATATTCAGGCATTTTCTGCTGTTTAGGAGTGTATTTGCTTGCAGATATATTCTAGACGTACTTGAGAACTAACGTACTCAAATGCTAAAGTTAATGAAGTCAAAATCTATGCTATAAAGTTATTCACATGGGAGAGATATATTTAGCCTATCACATCCAAAGGAGCTTGTGCTGCTGGGGCTCAATTTATTCAGATATTTGTCTAAAATAGTCTTGCATTTCCTCATGTTTTTTCTACAGATATTAACTTAAAAATAATTGTGAAAAATCTGTTGGGGGGCTTTGGTATTCCCTTTCTTGCCTCTTGAGTTTCACAATTCTTTGCTGTAAATCCCTTTGAACAGGGATTGCTGTAAGTGCAGCCTTTCAGGGGAGTGAAGGGAAATGTAGCTTCAGTTTATTCCTCTTTCAGCAGAGGAACTCAGGCTATTAGTAGAAAGAAGAGGGTGCAGAGGGTTGCAGCAGCCAAGATGCAGTGCCAACAGCAGGGCTGTGAAAGGGCAGGCAGAAAACCAGGTCGTGTGTGCTGAGCTGGGGGCAAAGTGGTGGCATTTCAGGGCAGAGCTGTGCGGGACAGGGCAGGGAGGGAGGGAGCTGCCTCTGGGAGGTGGGGGGCCTGGCTGCTGGCATGGGGAGGGCTGGGACGTGCACGGGGTCAGAAGGTTTGAAGAAGGGGTCGTGTGGGGTGAGGAACTGGACTCTGGCATATGAGCCCTTTGGAGGAGGAGTTTCTTTCTTCCTCATCTCCCCACGTGAGTGGCAGAGTTAAAGGCGGGGAGGCTGCAGGATTACAGCTTTTGTAGTACAGCATGATTTTCTGCGCCCCTCCTGGACATCACTGCCAATGAGTGACTATGCACATGAGTACATATGTAGGGATATGTTTTGGCTGGCTTTGTTTGGGGTCATGCTATGCATTGGTGGGTTTAAAATGTTAGTGTGTTACCTGGAGGTCTTCAGAATGAGTGGACTGGCAGAATATGGTGATGGAAAGCTACATCAGCTGCTAGGTAAGGCACCCTGAATGCTAGCTGAACCAGTGCATGAAAAGCAAAATACAACTTGAGTTTGAGTTAATCTATTACAGCTCTGAGAGACCTTCAGATTCTGGTATAGATTTCTGAAGAGTAAATATTTTCCTAAACTAAATTTGGCGTTTTGTTACAAAAGCAACAAAATGGGCAGCAAGCAGAGCTCGGCATGTATTTTATTGTGTCCACTTTCATAAAATCAACTGGAGCTGCAAGTTTGTCCCTGGGAGCATCATGTAAAATTAGATTTTAGGACTAAATAGTTTTCAGTGAAATTAAATTCATTCATAAATCTGATTTCTGTGTTCAGTGAGGATTGTGTCTTTCGTGAGTACATGGTAATTTTTAATTTCTCAAATACACGTATGTAAAAAAAATCACTTGTTCTTTTAAGAGGCTTTCAATAGGAAAGAGGGCAATTTTGCATCAGTGTAAGACAAGCAATTCACAATGAATTTGACAAAACAAATTATCCACATAGAGAATCAGTGAACTCTCTCCCCATTCCTCGTTAGTTTTTGCTGGATTTTGCTTTGTTAGAGTAATTAGGGAGGCTGCTTTTTTTGCTAACTTTCTTTGAAACTATATCCTTAGTGAAGCAGATACCCTACAATAAAGCTCAAGGTACAAGTTGGAAATTGGGGAATAACTATGAGAGGCCAAGTCGTAGTTTTCTTCAGTCTCAAATGTGAATGCAATTAGTTGTATATATAAATAAAAACTTAACTTTTTGTCAGTATAAGGATACTTTCTGTTTTTGTGCAGAATACATGCAGAGGTATTTAGGTATATGATTGAGAGTATGGGAAATGCATAATGCAAGAAATTATTCAGGGAGTCGTCATTCACAAGTTGAAATGAGTAACTCGATGCCATTAAAAGTGTAGGAGCTCACTATTTCAGTTTCCCATGTCAGTAACTACATAGAAGGAGCCAGAACTTAGTGCATTTAAACATAAAGTCAATATAACAAAGCCAAACATAAGCCAGTGGTAATGGACATGTTTCAAGGTAGACTTACGACATTATCATAGACTCATCAAATGGTTTGGTTTGGAAGGAACCTTTAAGATCATCTAGTTCCATCCTCCCTTCTATTGGCAAGGACACCTCTTGCTGGACCAGGTTGCTCAAAGCCCCATCCTTATCAAACAATAAAAGTGAGTGCCCAATGGTGGGTTGCTCTTCCTTCAACCCTGGAAATAATAATCTTTTGCTTCAGAGTGGAGGTGTGCTTTAAATAGAGGTTGCGCATGACTTGGTATATGGAGTCTGAGTATTTTGTAAGGTAGTGAAATTAGTGTAAATAGTGAAAAGGAAGCACTTTGAGTGTGCTGGACAAATATTCTAAATCTATTTACTACTTTTTTTTCTGGCATGTAATAACAGACAGAAGAAATAAAGCATTGAGCTTTTTGTCATACATTCTGCTAGGTTTTTATTTTGCGTGTAAACATCATAAATAATATATGAAATATTAACTCTATATTTTTCTTTACAGTGTAGCTCTTGCAATTTATTACCACATCAAAAACAGGTATGTGTACTTGTACTGAAGATCTCTAATCAAAAGAAATGAACTTCTGAAACCTGAAAAATATGTGCTTTGTTTTTTCCTGGAAATGTTTTAGTGTAGTTTTTCTGTTATCTCCCATGTTAGAGAAGAAAAACATATTCTCCAATTTTGCTTAAAGGAATAAAAGTTAGAGGACTAGGCATCATTAAAATCTGCAAGTCCAGTTTGCATTCAAAACCTCTGATGATTCAGTATTTGATATTATATGTCCTGACCATTTCTTTGTTCATACATGTTGCAATTATGTTTAGAAGAAATCTTCATAATGTCTTTCAGGTTTATTTTTTTGGGCTGTGCCTTTGTAAAATTAACTGTGTAAGTCTTCAATCAGTTTAATAGATTTTAAAATACAAGCCGTTCATTATACAGTAAGTGTGACAATGTCAATAAATATAACTCAGGATGCTGCAGAAGTAGAGCAGGTCCTGACTTATCTCTTCCGGTGCAGCATGTTTCAGATCTCTCCTCAAGTTGACTATTTAAACCGAATAGAAAACAGGTTCTCCAAAAAGGTAACTTGGTACATGAATTAACACTGTGCTTATTGAATTGCAGTTCTGTCTCCTAAATTCCATGTTGTCTTGATATAATAAGTCACCATATCATAATATCCTCTGATTTTTTTAAGAGATTTGTATGAATACTTCCAGTGACTTTTGTGTATGTGGCTTTGCAGTGTGTCTTCTCAGTGATCTTGGCTTAGATCTCAACAAACCGACTTACAAGTTTTTCTTCAGGACTGTGAGAAGTTCAACGAGAGCAAAGGGAGTTACTCCTAATTTTAAAATTAAGCTGGTGCGCCATTTGGGACTGTGTTTCAGGTCCCTGGCCACACTGCATTTCTTGAAACAAAGCCGGTGTCTCAGAAGAAACCTTTAGAATTGCACAAAGGCAGAAAGGTTTAGGGCCCTGCTGAAAGCTCTTGGAAGACTTTCCAAGATCTCGGTGAGCCTTGGACTGAAATATGGCAATCTGTAAAGCAGAAGTTGAAATGAAATATTTTTTCCTTTTAATCTAATTTCCTAGGAAATTAAGCATTAATGATCATGCTTGGTTTACTTGTTCATCCATCTGTGCTTCCCTCTTTCCCTTTCCTTCCAACATCTCTGGGTTAGTTCAGCCAGCTAATCAGTTTTGTCTATACTTGACTGACTGACAGAGATCCCAGAGTTAATCAGGTTCTAAAGTTTTGGGGAACAGTATTGTAAGTGCTCTGTTAAGTGCAGTGCCAACTCAGTAAAAAGCTCAGCAGAAAGGGGCACGTTAGAGACTGCATGTGGGTGAGTAACTTCAGCAAGAGCTCACTGTCAGTCAGGAGGAAATCCAGAGCCCAAGGAAGCCAGCTTCCTTCTGATTTCTGACTCTAGTAAAATATGCACATTCATAGTCTTATCACAGAACCTGATGCAAGTTTGACCTGCAGCAGTTAGACAGAGAGGGCAGACGTGAATAACAGAAAGGATCGTATGTTCGTGATGTGAAAACAGATGCGTTCTGATTGTTATTTTCTTTGAAAACTTGCTGTCTGTCTTTTCACTTTTGGGAAGGGGAATTTATTCAGCAGGAACCGGTGGCTGCTTCTCACCTGAAGGTCCTAGGTGCAGTGATGGGATATTTTGTAAGCAGTGACACAGTGACCCTGCAGCAGGTGCTTGTACATCAATTAATGACTGAAATGAAGGTTGTAAAACAACTGTTCTGTCATCTCTCATTTAGGAATGGAGCGAACAAGGTGATAACAGGATGATAACAGCATTCGTTTGTGTATGCTGCTGAAACAGCAATAGCAAAACATATGTTCTGTTTCCTGCCATTATAGGCCAAAGGAAGTTGTTGATGTATGTGGTAGATTTGAGTTCGTTATGTCTGGGGAGCATGAAACCACTGCAGCCCTAGAGTAGGCTTAAAGTTCATTGTGACAGAAAACAAACTGAGCACCTGCTTTGCCAGAGACAAATTATTTTCAGATAACAATTATCTGTTTCTCCTATATGCTAACCAGAAAACAATTTTTTTGAGTATTCTAAACTGTCACCAAGCCCAGATGCAAATTTTCAGAGAAACTATACGTGTGTCATATCTTCCCCACATTTTGATTGTGGCATTCTAGTTAGCATTCCTGCTTTTCCCATTATCTCCTATCACTGTTACATTGATTGACTTTTTCCAGCTTTTTTCACACTACCCTCCAGCTGGTGGGGGCTATACATAGCTTGCTTTTGGAAGAATTTGCTAAATAAATAAGTAAATAAGCAAAATAGGATCCAGCAAATTAGCAGTTAAAAAATGTTTAGATCAGTTAGTTAGTTAGTAGATAATTCCTTTTTGAAAGGTAAAATGAATTTCTTCTGGTGAATAAGGTGCAAAACCACTTTTTGGTGTGATAGGTTTTTGTTATGACAATCCAAGGTGCCTTCTCAGTGTGCAGCACCTGCACATGAAGAAACGAAATATGTTTTTTTCTTTCTGTCTTCTCACAGTGAAGAGCCATAGCATGCTATAGCACAGCATTGATTCCAGAGGGACTGCTGCTGCATTAGGGGACTTGCACTTTCACGTAGGGGTAAAAGAGTCTGCCCTAACATCCTTGCTGATTAGGAATTTTGAACTAGTTATCTCAGTCTGCTTGCTGGTTTAAAGTTAACTACTCCTTTTTAAAAGAACAGTGCTGATTTTCAGCGTGAGGAGGCTTTAGAGCAGAAATGATAATGGTGTTCAGATGCTGAACTTCAAGTCTGTTATCCACCAATGAGTACATTTCGTAGACATGAATTTGTTTGTAATACTCATGTTTGTGTGCTCTGTGAGTTATGTGCTGGTGATAAAGGCAAAAAACATATTCAGGGATTTCTCTCTGAAGACTTCTGTGACCAGAGGATGCAATAAATAAAGATGGTATTGTGTTAAGAAAGTCACATGCATCTGTCCAGAAAGTGTCCAGTTCTAACTGGCACTGTCACACCACTCGCTTTTGAGATTGTTAGCATTCCTGCTGAGGTTACACACAGCAGAAATTTTAAATTGCTTTCTGGATGCTAGAGGGGAAGTTGCATCCACTTTCATGTTGACCTTGAACAACACAGATCTGAGAGAAATTGTGAATTAAGTCAATGAATACAAGTGTTATTTTGATTTTTTTTAAAGTATTTTTGGTATGCTTTCTGCTTTCAAAAATCATTAATAGCATAAGGTCTTCTAAAGAAAGGAAATTGAAGTACATTTATTAAAGAAGGTCTGAGTGTAAAAATAGTGTCGCATATTTGCTAATGTTTGTGGCCTTGGCAATAAAGGAGGAGGAGAAATTAATTAAAAGAAGAGATCTGGTGAGGATCAACAGGATGAAGTCAAGAAAGGAAGAGGAAGCTGAGTTAATTTCATTATGTTACAAGTTTATCGTAGCACATCCTTGTGCTGTGAAAAAAGCCTACAATAGAGAGTGCAAAGGCTTTTTATATTTTGGATGTTGAAAATTCTTAGTTACTTTATAATGTGGATTGCATATTGCTTGTGAGCTTTATGATGGAGTGTGTCCAAAGTCACATTTCTGCAGCGTTTATAAGTACCTCTCAGCATAGGTAGCATTGGAGCTTTAATGATATACTTGCATCTGTGAGAGCTGCGTGTTTTTGTATTCTGATAATAACACTACTTTGGTTTTAATACTTTTTAGGGATACAGATGGAAGAATGCTCTTAGATATTTTTGATGAAAACCTTCATCCCCTTTCGGTGAGTTCATTGCTCTCTTTTCCCTTTTCGTGTGAACTGCCTCTCTCTCTGCTTCGTTTTGTTTCCATCACTTACTTGGAAGTATTTCTTCCGTAGAAATCCGAAGTGCCACCAGATTATGACAAACACGATCCAGAGCAGAAACAGATTTACCGCTTCGTTCGGACGTTGTTCAGTGCTGCTCAACTGACTGCTGAATGTGCCATTGTCACCCTGGTGAGTGTCTGTGAGGTGACATCAGCTATCTAACAGACTCAGTTTTGTTCCCAAAGCTTCCTTTGCATGATTTAATAGATGTAGGTGTTGCCAGGGGAATTTTTCTCACCATGGAGACCAAAGAAATTTCTTGATGGGAAGAGATACTGCAGTTTATTTTCTTGGGGAGGGTAACTGATCAAAGAAAAGGTTGGATAACATGTGACACAAAAGCTGGGGCTTCATCTTGCCTTCACAGAGCTATAGCATTACAGGCCACCAGAGTGACTAATGGAAAGCACAGGTGGCAAAAGCAGTCGGGACAGAAGGGAATGTTAAAAGCAGAAATCCTTCCACTTTGGGGGGGTTTGTTGTGTATTGCTGTAATTCCCAACAGAGAGTCAGGGAACAGCTGTAGGTAATCTAATAGCACTAGTAAGAATTGGTGAACAGACGAAGGATTTGGTCAGTGACTGAAACATTAGTGATGGCTCCTTTTTTGCTTTCACTGTCCTTGTCTTTCAGGACTGCATCATAGAATGGAACAATTGTGCTCAAGGCTAAAGTGTAGCTACTTAAAAATAGCGCAATACAAAAAAGGCTCAGATTTTCAGCTGGTGTGGATCAGCATAGCTATGTGGATTAAAGGAGCTGAAGTGATCTCCACCAGCTGAGAATTTCTTCATTTTCCTGAAATTTATATCCTGTCAAATCTCTTCAGCTTTCAGGCACAATTTTGGCCATGTACTTGAGTCAGAAATACTGCAATATGTAGTCTTCTAACAGCTTTTTGTGCACTTTGGATAGTATAATGGGAAATTGGAGAATGTGGATTTCGAAAGCAAGACCTACTCCTTTTCTCTGTTAATCTTAGAAGCCAGGAGCAAGAAATTTAGTTGTCAGGATTTTCTCCTTTAGACAGTCAAAATGAGGAAAAACAGGAATCTGAGGGAAACAGGGCAAGAAACACCCCACAGTGCTCCACCCTTGCATTTTGAAGTATTACTCTACCTAGGTAGTTGACCTAGCCATTACTTGTTTTCTGAAATGACAGTTTGTCTGTCTCTTTTACATAATTGCACAAAGTACTTGTCCTTCTTTTTCCTCCTGAGGATTTTCTGCTGGAGGCAAGATATGTTCTGTGAATCACTATGTTCTTGTATAATTTAATTATTCTACTGTCAAATGCAGTGAAACCTTGCTGTAGTTATCTGTTATTTGATCTTAGGTTACTTGATCAATGAGGGCACTCTTTAGTAGAAAGGAAGAAGGCTTTTTTTAAAAAATAACATTATCTTCCTGTCTTTGCAATACATGGAAAATTCTTAGCCACAAATCTTTACCCATGTTTTTGAGTATCTTTTCATTTGCAAGTAGTTCCTTGCCTCTTCTGTTTCTCATGTGGCTTTCTTGTGAGTTACGGCTTTTGCTATGATCTACAATTCGATACAAATGTTTTTAACTTCTTTGTCATGCTGCAGTTCCTGTAGTTGTTAGCAATTCAAACTTTAGCTGGCTTGCGTTTTTTACCCAACACTGATACCAGGTATGTTGTTTTATAATCTGATTCTCAAAGTGGCCATGCAACATGTTGGCAGGTAATTTGGTGTAGGTGATCAACATTACTGTTCTGCTATTATTACCCATGTTTTCAAGATAGTAGTACCTGCCTGACCCCTCTTTCCAGAAAGTTAGAGAATTTTGCAAGTATGAAATTTTGTTCTTGTTCTGTTTCCTCTGTTCTTTTAGATCCCATTCCTTTATTTATTATTGTCATTAGAAAGGGCCCTAGAGACAGATCATGCTGTTTCTGAAATGTTCAAATGGATAGTTGTCTAGAAAACAATCAACCCCCTCTTCCCCACAGCATTTCTGATATCTGAGTAGTGTTGATAGCCCTATTTATGAATCCTCCAAATGTTATCAATTTTGATGTCCTGACTGGAGAAGGAAGGAGCAGCACTCACTTCTGAAGCCTGTGTTTTGCCGTAGTCTGGTCATGCATTAGAGAGCATCATGATACCCCCGTCTGCCACTTTTCCTTGGGGGAGAGCTGCCAGAAGGTAGGAAGTATATCTGTGGAGATCACAATACATCCTGAAGTAGATGCTACAGCTATTCTGTTTCATTCTAATTATTTTTAAGCAGTCCTAACCTCCATTTTTTTTTACTACGTAGACTACCCAAATTATTAGCGTAGACTAAGAAGTGTAGTTGGATGCGCTTGTTGTCATCTTGTATGCCATTAGCCAGGCAGAAGGAGCAGTTAGAGCTGTTATATAGCAGTCTGTATGCAGCACAGGAGCAGGGTAAATGTGATACTCTAGACTATTAGATAAGCTACTCTCCAGCAAAAAAAAGTCAGCATCATATTGCTTTAAGCACTTAATTAAAATATTTCAATTAAAGTCTTGCTGTTACAGCAAAGCCAATTTATAATTAAACAAAAGATTTAATTTTCACACAGCCTCCAGGGCTGCCAAGAGGTTTCCCATATTGGTAGGTGAAAAATTAAAATCTCAGGTTGAAACAATTAAATATGCACATAATTTATTTATAAAATAATAACTTAAGAATAATATTAGTTTAATAATTACTTCTGTTGCTGATTTTTTTGTCTTGTAAGAAAAGGATTTGTCGCAGTGAACAGCTGAACTGAACTCTGTGACCTGACTTAGGGAGAAAACCAGTGCTTCTGCCCTGATGCAGAGTATTCCCCTCCTTGCTAAAACTGAGAAGTGCCTCATCTGCAGTATCTCCTTGCACTTACACTAGTGGATTAATTGGATAACAAATAAAAATGTGAATAGTAATGTTATCTGTACCAACATGAAAACAATGCAGTGTTACGTGTCAAGAGAATTGAATATTTGCTCTCTGCTGTTCTGTTCTGTGGAAACAATACAGTTTAATTAGCTGGACCTGAAGAGAATGGTCCAAGTTTTCTGCTTTGTCTTTATGTGACTGTGAGTTTTGTGCAAGTAGGCCAAGTCTAAGTCACCAGAGAACTTCAGTATGCATAACAGTTTCAGAGAAGTTACGTTTTGCATCGGCAAATACTCTATAGACTCATCTTATATATGATGATATCTAAATTCATATAGTACGTGATCTGAATTACTTTTGCCACGTTCAGAGAAGAGTGTTTTGAAATATATTGCAGAGTTCAAACTGTGACTGAAGGGATTTGATGTTGGGAAATTTGAAAATTGAAGTACGTAACATTATATTCTCCTTATGAAAAACTGGGATTTAATTAATCCAGCCAGATGTTCCTGGCTCTTATTGTACTCTCCAGTCATGTTTTTAGCAACTACATAGAGAATATTTTTGAACTAATATTGTTAAACTATGTGATGAAAATTGTAGTATTTGAGGATAATTTTCTTTTCTGTTTATTTGGAGGGAAGGAAGAAGGCCTTAATTGTTTTCTTTCTCTGGATTGTTTTTGTCTTTAAGTGCTGATAAAGTATCATTTTTGCATGTTTTATTTAATGAAGCAAGAATGAGTTTCTGGTTTAAAGAAAACAAAAGAGTAAAAGAATGTTATTAGAGGCTTTAGAGATACTTAATTTGTAGCAGAGGTCCTTTTCAACTGGCCCAGCTTAGCTGCACTGTACATGCAGCTCATGGGAGATGCACATTCCTCTGCAGACCTCAGAGTACTACAGGCAGTACTGCTTACTGCCAGGTTTGAAGGCTTTTTCTCTCCTTCAGTAACAGTGACCAGGCTGGGCTCCACCTCGTTTAAGAAACGTGAGGACAGTTGTGTGCACCTGTTATTTCTGGTTACCACCTTTTTAATTCTCCAACAGAAAACTACATTAATGTCAAAGAATGAATACTGATCCCAGTTTTAGGCTGGCCAGTTAATCTTGCCTAATAGTATGAGTGTATTTTACATGCATTACAAATGTTTGTTTTAAAATGAGTAAAGTAGGAGGCGAACCTGGAGATGTGTGATTTTGCTCTCAGTTCCATTAGTGCTTCCTATAAATATCTTCAATGCTACTTTTCAATTACTTGCATTTTCAGAGTTTTATGACTGCGTACATCATTGTGTTTCAACATTTGGTCTCAAAAATGAATTGGATGAAATTGCAAGGATGGTGATGATGTGATGTCTTTTTCCACCAAATAGATGGAATCAGATCTTTATAGAACATTTTAAATGCCCAGCTGGGCAATTGAAAGCACAGTTATTTCTGGAGAGTCATGTTAGGGAACTGTAGAACATATGGCAATTTAGTGATTGGATTTAGAACCGTAATTTGACTGTATGGGATCCATCACCAATTACGATTTTTTTCATATACGTTTATTTTTAGTTTCAAGGCATTGTGACATTCTGAAGTTTTCTCATTAAAAAGACATGGCTGTGTATTTATTTTTACTTTTTTATGATGTTTTGGTATGGAAAATGTCTTAATTTAGTTATGCTTTGCTTCTGCAACTAATAATGTGAGTTACCTAGTGAGGTCATTATCGAGTTTAAATGAGAAAGTGAGGAAACTGGGTTGTTGCAAATAAACTTTAATTTTTAGGTTCTCAATTATGGGAGTTAAAATACCAGAAACATCATTTTATGTCTGTCAGTGTGAATCTGCTGAGTTTTGATTAAAGCTGCTACAGTTTTATTGGTAAAATAGAGTTTGACATAAAGTGATACAAAAAAAAGTGTGACAAAAGGTCATAGTGTACTCTTGCTGCTGTCTCAAAATTCTGAATTCTTCCACAAACACGAGTGACATTCTTTGGTGATTGCCAAGACTCATACTTGAAGAGAACAAGCATCTTGGACCTCTGTGTTACACCATAGGAAACTCCAGTAGTTCAGACAATCACAGAACAATTTAGGTTGGAAGGAGCTCTTGAGGTCTCATCCAGCATCTGCTCTGAGCTTGGCCAGTTGAATGAGGTTACTTAAGGACTGCCCAGCTGAGTGCTGAATTTCTCTGAAGATAGAAATCACACAACCTCCACAAAAAACCTATTCCATTGTTTTATGAAGTGTTTAAAAAAAAAAAAAAAAAAAAAAAAAAAAGAAGAGAATTACAGGATTTGGGGTCCTTAAACTCTTAAACTGCAACTCCAGTGTGGGAATTTCAGTGGGATATTGGAGGTTGATGTTAAGCAGTTCCAAAATTAAGTAACAAAGAAAAACAAAACTTTGGAAAGTATCCCATACTAAGATTTTATTAAAACTTGCATGTTCCTCTGGATTATGAAATATTGAAATGAAATGATTTGACACTTTGATTTTTTGGTATATATCCTCCTGAATGGGAGAGAAAAAGAAGTACACCTCCTCAAGTATTTTAACTTCCTCATTGAGAGTGTGGTGTAATACACAAAATATGATGTAATGTCCTCTGAGATGGAAAAAATGAAATGCTGCTTCACCCTAAAACTGAACTCCTCAGTGCAGTCTTTTAGTTTTCAGTTTCTTCAAATGAGTTTACATGCTGTTAGTTGGCATGCCGTGTAACCAGTTGTCTCGTATCCAGAATCACAGGAAGGTGGGACATCCCACATATCTGGAACAGCGTTGCATTCTGAGATTCTGTTACTATGGAGAAGACCAGATTGGATTCACCCAACTGCATATAATTGCCCCATGGATTAGGTGTGGCTCAGCAGTGGTCCTGCTGGAGCCGTATCAGTGCTGCAGTGTGGATGCCCTTGCTAGTCTGGTTAGCCTTATGCCATTCTGCAGTTCTGTTTCTAGAAAAGAAAAGCCTCCAGGCCTACTGTTGATAATGTATGGCTAAATGGTTGTCTATCATGCTATTCCATGTCCAAATCTTGGGAATTAAGATCAAAGGCATCCAGACTAGCTTAGCATGGAGTAATTTCAGGTCCAGAAGATTAATTAGCTCAACATATTTGCAGAAACACATCAAATCTATACCTCTTCTGAACCTGAAATGGTTTTGGAAGCCATTTAATTACATGCCTGTGGTGCTGCATCTAAGCTAATGAACCTCTCCAGACTCTGAGCCAATTTGGGAATATCTATACCTGCAGAGTGGTAATTATATTTAATTAGGAGAAATAAATTCTCATTAATTCAGATAAATGAATTTGTAACAAAGGCAAATTGTCTAATTGATTTCACTCATGATTAAATGATCATTTGCTGACATTACAAGTTTAAAGGTCGATCATTGTAAAAATTAATTATTAAAAAATAAGAATTAAAGAGTGCTCTTCTGAAGTCTTAACTCTATACAGGTTATCTTCTGAAATGAGCGTGAGTTATTATGATGTCTCTAGTGAGGTGCAAGTGCTGTCCATGGAAAGCTGTTGAGGGCTCACAATTGCATGAAATGCATGGTTTATTCCAAATACAGTAAACTTATAATGGAGGCATCATACTGTTGGGTACTGAGTTTTTAATGGTAATGTATTGGTGGGCCAATGCCCATTGGTATTTTCCAGCTCAGAACTGCACTTTCATTTCAACTAGGAAATTAAATATGTGACAATTGAGTATTGAAGTTTTTAGTGTTGTTGGTGTTCTTTGCAAGCTGAGAAAATTCAGAACAATATGTTAGTTGACTGGAACCAGTGAGAGTTTCTCTTTGTGTCACATCAGTAAACTTAATCATTTAAATAGTGCTGTTATCACTCTGTAAAAATCTGAGAACATGCAGTCACAGAAGTTAGTGAATGATGACACGTGCTGTGAAAATTGGTCTTGGAAGCTATTAAACTGTTTGAGGAGAACTAGAGGTTGGATTAAGGCAGAATTAATCTGTCATATTTTTTGAATTCAGCTTTCAGATATTTAGAAGTACTCACCGAAGCTCACTTTGAGAAGAAGCACTGCAAAGGATGAATTATACAGAAAAGTGACAGCTTTAAGGTTAAAAAAAAGTTTGAAGGTTTAGATGCATTCCTAAGCATGAATCCAACTGTTGAAAGTATGAAGGCAAATCATGGATTTTTTAAAAATCTATTTATTCTTGATTCTCAAATCTCTATTTATTATTAGTTCTCTTCAGAAGTACTTGCTGAAATAATCTAGAGATGAAATGAGGCTTTTGAACTCTTAAGTAGAAGTTTCTTTCATTGCCTTCTGAGCCTTTTGATATTTCAGCATATATGTAAATTTCTACCACCATCCTGAGACAGGAGTTACAATGTTCTTTTCCACAATGGGCTTTTAAAATTCAACTTTGTTGTGTGACCTGATAGCAGCGGATCCTGAAGAGAATCTAGAAAGTCTTTCGCTTTTGAAAATTGAGTGAAATTCATCACAACACACAAATACATAATAAAGCATGAAGTAAACACAGAATCCCGAGTCTGTGGTTCACACCCCATGTTTAAGAAAATGAGCCCCTGTGTTTAAGATGTTAATGCGTGGACTTAATTGCATAACTAAGGTGAATGCAAGCGGCATTTCCATATATCACACTTAGCATTACAGGACCAACGTTTCCAGAGATTTTTATTTTTTTTTTATACTTGACATGGAGCGTGCCTGCCTGCACACAGGAAGACTCGCTTGCTTCTGTCAGTAAAGCAGGTGGTCTCTCCCACCAGCCACACATTTGTTTGGGATGAGCAGCAGAGTGACTGATAGCCCACCAGCATTCTTCAAATGGGCTGAGAGCCACCTGGCCATTCTCCAAAAGTCTGTACTGATTCAGCACATCTTTGCAGCAGCCAGAAGCAGCAGTCCTGAATTAATGCAGGATACTGAGCACACAGCAGGCCCTTCTTTCTCCGTTTTACCTATCAAGGTCAAAATCATGGTGTTCACGCTGCTCGTCTGGCCTGGACCGGGTATACTGAAATGCTCTGAGATAAAAACAAGGGTTGGCTGTTCCCTGTGTCACAGTGAGCTGGTGTGTGTAGGAAAGAGAGCTTGCCTGTGCCTTTACTGCTTTCACAAAGGTACCCTACCTGAGTAGGGCAAAAGCCCAGGTATGTTCCATCCTTTACTTTGCCTGTGGTTCACTGTCTGCAGAGCCATCTGCTTCCCTCTGACCTGCAACTAGAGCAGTGGGCTGTAAGGAGGACAGTGGCTGTACCTGAGGGATTTGAGTGAAAGTTGAAGAACTAAACTATTAGGGTAGCATTGGCATCTTTGGAGACTAGTCCTACCTTATGCTGAATTCTCACACTATCTGAGGACTTCAGTAAACTTCTGCAAGCATTTGCTGCAAGATAAGCTTGAAAGGTGAAATTTAAGCAGCTTGCATTTACAGTAAGGGGTCAATTTCAACATTGCTGTAAAGCAAATGAAGTTAATCTTCATTGCCCTACTTTGAGCAGCAAGATACCGCGACACTTCTACTTATGAAGCTCCCTGTGTTGGTAGTGTGTATTGCTTTATACAAGCATTCCACTTAACTGGGACCATTCCAGGAATTGTTAGCTCATAATTCAAGGTGCAGTTTTGCTTGCTAAGTTGAACAAGTATGTTTGTATTAATAGTAGGGGGTTTACACAGGCTGCCTAAGAAGCAAAAGGCAGCCTTTGGAACAGGCCCATGAAGTTGTTGAACTCTGCTGAGAAGCATTTGCTGATTGCTCATTTTTACTGAGCTTTGAATTTCTGTGGTTTTTATACAAATTTTTGGAGCACTCCTTGGAGAAGTGAGTCTTCTGAGTCTCCAGTGCTGTTCTCACCTCACCCACTCACGTACATTTCTCTGAGTTTCTGTCTTGAATCCTTGTGTTGGAGTGACCATTCGTTTATTTCTTGGGATTTGGATGATCTTGCTGGTCTGCTTAGTGATATTTTGCACAGGATTGCTAGAGGGACCTGCATGACATGATACCATATCCTATAACTGTTTGGGAATTAGAGCCATGGTTGTTTATATGATAGCTAATAACTACAACTGGTAGCATACATGTGCCTTCCACATTAGGTGTTAACATTTTATTTGTTTATGTTATTATTTTAATAGTTTATTTAAACTATAATTTGAATTTATTCAGACATCCAAATATGTTAGCAAGAGTTACAGACAGAAAAATAACAGATCTGTTTCTGGTATTATGGTCAGAAAGCAGAGGTCAACTAAAAAATGTATTTATCATATTCAAGTCTTGAGCTTGGCATAAATGTATCTGTTAAACCTACAGCTTTTATAAAAGAACCTTCTTGAGACCAGATACTGTTTTGAAATTGCTGTAGTGGGTTTATTAGAATAGTTTTCTTAGTCTTTTTTGCTTTTAAGTAGAAATGGAAACATCTTGATTTTAATGTGTTTCCACAGGTATATCTTGAAAGACTTCTAACTTACGCAGAAATAGATATTTGTCCAGCAAACTGGAAGCGAATTGTGCTGGGTGCTATTCTGCTGGCATCCAAGGTTTGGGACGACCAAGCGGTGTGGAATGTGGATTACTGCCAGATCCTGAAAGATATCACAGTTGAAGACATGTGAGTCCAGTGTGTTTATCATGTCCATAGTCTGTGTGTATAAGGGGGGAAGGGAAGTTATCTCATAAATTATATAAAGGTTGTGTGTCTGCATTGTGTCTAAACGAGGTAGATGCTGATATAAGTGGCACAAGATTTGCTGGAGAGTTGCTTGCATAGAAAACATGAACTGTTTTGTTGTTGTTTGTGTTAAACTGTATTTCATTGCTGGATGTTTGCTCACAGTGAACTTGCAGAATATTGAAATCTATGACTTGAACAAAAAAAAAAAAAAAGGCAGATGAACCTGCTTGTCTTCAGTTTAGCAACTTTTACAGTAATGTTAGTCCTCTGCACAGACAGCAGAACAATGTGTAAGACAAGAAAAAGATTTGTTCCGATCCTAAAATCCTGTAGATGGCCACCCACTTACAGCTGCTATTACTCAACCTTGAAATGATCACTCACATATATCTGCCATTATTCAAATACTCTTTTTTCCGTATCTCGCTCAATTTGTTTGCAAGATTTATATATGTATATATATATATATATATATATATATATATTTTAAATTGCAAAGAGAAAATTCATTCTGGTAACTTTTCCATTTTTTTTACACAGTGGCATTCTTAAGAGATGTAATGGCACATACAGAGTTACAGTATTGCCTAGATACTTTCATTACTTGTTATTTTAAGAGTATACTGCAACAGTAATAAAAGGAACTGTGATAAGAATAAATACAATTAAAATCGTAATGTTTACAAATACTAAAATGAACGTTCATCCCATTCAATTATCGAGTACTTGTGGTCGGTTGGTTAGTAGGCATTACATACATTTGCTGAAGTGCCTGAATTTCAGGGCTGAGTCACATACCGTGCACCAGCTCACAAGTGCTCTTATCTGAGTTAATGAGAGTGCTTCTAGAATGGCAGAAGCTGGAATCATGGTGCTGGAATCATAATGGTGTGGCCAGATTCCTAAACAGGCCACAGAGTAGTGCCTTCAGAGAGTGATGGTTTGAAGCTACACCTGCACTCCATTTTCATAAGGACTAGTGACAGTAGAATGATGGAAGAGATGGTTTTAGTACAGTACCTCTGTGTTTCTAAGCTCTTTTAAACAGGGAGAGGTATTTCTAATAAAAAATATGTAGACCTGTTTCTACTTAACTCAGTTATGTCATAATTCTAGTCATTGAAAAGCATTTACTGTGGCTAAATACTATTTACGTTTATTTATATTTCTGTTTGCTTTATATTTATGTTTCGGCACACACGATTAAGTGAAGAGAAAAAAAGGGGGAAGTAAACAGGAAAAAATGTTTATATAGACACTGTGGTTTTTGAATCTCAGTTTACAATCTCAATGCAGTGAAGACGAACCGTTTCTGCTACAGCTGCTCTAAATCAAAGCTACTAAGAAACTACTTTATGGCTAGTCTGAAAATGATCTGTAAAGAATAGGTTGAAAGTTGGAAGACAGCTGACTGCTTAAAATGCAGCATGCTCATACACTTCTAGATAAGGCTTTTACAAACTGTAAGTAGCTCTCATTTCTTGAATATTGGAAAAGTTATTTCTAGATTTGTACTAGCAAGTAGTTTAAAACAAGATCTTTACTTCCTGCACAGGAGTAAAAAAACATAAACCCTTCATTGCTATGGTGTGCTGTAAATAACCCTCATTATTTTTGGGAAAACCATAATTTCAAAACAGAAATCAGAAATATGCATAGTACCATTTCAATTTCTGTTGCACACAGAACAATTTGGTAATGCTTTCTTATCTATTTTGCGTGCTCTCCGAATAAGGTTCTTTCTCCATTAACTTCTCCTTCAGTGCAAATCTGAGCACTTTTACAGTGTGTTTGAAGCTGAAATATTGGGTAAGGTAGAGCTCTGAATAGCGTTAAGCAAAAGGTTGAAGCAAACGCTGGCAGGTTTGAGTATGCCATATGACAGTATTAATCAAGTATGGTTATAAATACAAGCTTTGAAATTGCTCATTCTCAGGGCTTTTTTTGAAGGCAGGTTAAGGGGCATACTGAGATGATATGAGAGGAAGTGGACAAAAAGGAGGAGATTCTTGCTTTTGACAAACACACGTGGTGGTGCTGCTGTTAGAAGTTGCACATCAGCGATATAAAAACATGACTCCAGAGGCAAACCTGTGCTCATGTGCTGTCACCAGTCTTCTTTCTGTGCTTCATGCTTGCTAAGCAGGCCAGTGATGAGTCCTTGTCATCAAAGTGAGAAATATACAATCTTTAAAACAAAGTATAGAGCCAGCAGCCTTCAGGGAGCCTATGCTCTCTTTCTGCATGGTACTTGATGGTCTGTTTTGTGAGCTTTGTGTTTGGAGCTCCTCGTGAATGCTTCAGTGAAGAGTTGGGTGCTTGTTGATGTGCTGATGTTTCTCTTCCTACTGCCAGTTCTTCCAAACATTTTCTTCCTCCTCTATCTAATGTGATGATGATCACTTTTTTTTTTTTCCTTTCTTTGGGCAACTGGGACAATCCAGTGTTAAAAGTTTTCATGTGACTTGGTCTATACCAAATGAGGGTTTTCATTATTTATATTAATAAGGCAAGGAAAACTCTACACCTTAATCTTCAACTACTGTGAATCATTAAGCATGAACGTATCTTATAAAACATCATACATAATTTTCAGAATTTTAAGAATCATCAGCAGTACATTAAGCTGTAACTCAAGGCTAACTTGAGAGACAGTATATGTCCATAGCTGTGTGTATAGCATTGCCTTGAAAGTGAAGATGACGAAAGAAAATTATTGTAATGTGTAATGGCTTTCAGTAGCAAGTTAGAAAAAAAAATGGTTCAGTGTTGAAAACTACTGTATCACTGTTCTTTCTTCTTGACTTTCCTTATGCACGTACAGTGCAGTCAACCTGTAACTTGAACGCAGTACCACAGTCAGTCAGTACCTGCTGGTAACAAACCTATGCAGTCCAAACTCTTCTGCAAAATTTACTGTTTGTTATTTGTTTCTTGCATCTTGAAATCACTATTTTAAGTATATCAAATGTCCCAATGTATGTATTGTGAAGGATATTAAGTTACCATACATTTCACAAAAGCTACAGAATTGACCTGTTTTGTTTGTTTGTTTGTTAATTTATTTACTTGCTTATCAACACACTTTTTATTATACTGCAATGGATAATAATGTATTGACGCAACAGAGTTTTCATGGAGCTCAGAGAGGCCTGTTCCTATCCATTCTTTTGAAAAGCACTTTTTGTTTTTTTGAGGTACCAAAGGTGAATTTTTCTTGCAAGTCTTAGGGAAAACTTGCTGTATGCTGCTCATAAGCCCAGACAAATGGTATGCTGAAGAAATCAGATTTCCCGTGTCTTGTTTCAAGTGATTTATTATGAAAGCTAAGAGAGAATAAACAAGTTGTTCAGTCATTTGTACATTAGGATAATTTGCAACATCTCTGAGAGCTGTCTGACAAATTTAGGACATGTCTGTATTTTGTGTTGGCATAGCTGTGTGAGCAGATCCACCTAGTGGAGGTACTGCAGAAGCTACAAGAACTTTATTTTCCTGGCTTTACGCTTTTCCCTTTTGTGCTAGCTTAACTAAAGGATCTCTTCTGCTGGCATCAATTTGGGTTTGGGTTTGACTGGCACAGCAGTAGTAGCTGCAGGTGCAGCAACTTTAATATTCCTCACCTAAGCATGTATGCTTATAGAACTTGGTAGACTAGTTCAAAATTTAAGCTAGGATAATTGCATCTGTCAAGAATATGAAATGAACTTGGTTACTGCCATTTGCAATTTAAAGCAAATTACATTCAGGATGCACAGTCTGAAAAATGTTTTCACATTTATCTTCTCTCTACAGGAATGAGCTGGAACGCCAGTTTCTGGAGCTGTTGCAGTTCAATATTAATGTTCCCTCCAGTGTTTATGCCAAGTATTATTTTGATTTGCGCTCCTTGGCAGAAGCAAATAACCTGAGTTTTCCTTTGGAGCCCCTCAGCAGGGATAGGGCATATAAACTTGAGGTAAGGCAATTTGTTTTTCTCTTGCCCAGAACTGAATATATATGGTCATTTGGAATTTTTGGAGTGTTTCTCCCTTCCCAACCCATCTCTTACCAAATATTCCCATATCATGTTAGAATGTGCCCAATATCCATAATTCTTTTTTTTTTTTTTTTTTTTTTTACCTTGTGCTTCAGGTATCCATGGGTATGGAAACACCTTTTTGGCCCAACTTACTTCATGTCTTGTCTTGCTATCCATTTCTTTCCATTCTAATTGTCTACATTGACCCTGTGAAAAAAACTACAGTTTTTACAGTAACTCTACTCACAGTTTGGTTCTGTTTATTCTTAAGATTGACTGTGCAGGAGACAGTATTAAAAAGTTTTGCTAAAAATCAGTGTTCTTTGTGCTTGTTACCTGCTACTGCTGCATTTTACGTGAATCCAAGTCTGTTGGCTCAGCACTGTTGCTCTCAGAAATGAGACAGAAATAAGCACACATCGTTAGGAGACCTGAATACACTATGTGCATAAACCACTATGTCAAATGTACCTGTGAAATTCAGAGCATTCTGAATTCCTGCATACAGTGGAGGAATTTTAAATCATCAGGCAATTGTGGATACTTTGAAGGCTGGAATCTTTTTTCTTGAGCATTCTAGGTCAAATTTTTCAGAAATGTGTTATTGCATGAATATGTGCACATTTTTTCAAAGTTTGAAATCTGCCATTAGCTACTAACTGCCTTTAGCACTGGATGTCTTTAATTAGATAATAGTTTTGCACTATAGTTTGCATGGCTATGAGTTAATGTCAGCATTGCATGTTTTGAAACTCTTAGTGCTCCTGTAAAACAGTTTTTGTTGGAGGGAAACGATACATGAGATTAACTTGTTTGCAGCTTGTAATGAGAACAGAGGTGGAAGAAAGAATTAAAGCAGATTTCACTAAATTGGAATATCTTACTCTATTTCTAAATATTCCCTTCAAATTTCTCGATGGCTCCAATAAGAATGTAAGTTAATTCTGTATATGAAGTGAGATGCAAATTTGCATCAGATTTTGTTAAAGAATCATAATAATAAAATATGAAAAATCATTGGTCAAAGGAAGTGGTGTGCTAAGTTATTAGATGTTAGGTCTTGATAATTATCACCCTCTCATGCATTTATAATTAAGTATATTTCTTTTTGAAGAGAATTTAGTACACAGCATTTCTGAAACCCGTCAGTGAGTTACAAGTGCAGGTAATGAAGGTAACTCCTAAAATCTTAGAAGAAAATAAAATAGCAGTAAACACGAAGAGATACTGGTGGTTTTTCTGGACTAATTAAAGAGAATGCATATTTAAAAAGAGCTAATGGAACATATTTGAATTAAGTCTGCACTATTAAAAATTCTGCCAAGGTGAATGTGGTTTGTGCTGCTAGCACAAGGCAGGTCTCAAGTAAGCTTGCTAGCCAAAGGGGATGGCTTCAGGTAAGAGGAAGAGCCTCTGCTGTGAGTCTTCACCTGGTCTGCCAGCTCCTTACCTCTCTTCTGTGTTCAGAAGGAAGGGACAATGATGGGAACTGCCTTGTTCCCTGGTGATGTTGGATGTCTTTTGTGTACCCTTGAAAGAGTTGACAGCATAATGTATAGCCTAATTCCTTGAGCACAGCTCTGTATAGGTTGCCAGGAGTTATCAGAATGGGTCTGCAACAATTTTCAAGGTCTGTCATACACTTTTTGGCCCAGAGTTGTCTACTTCTGAAGCTGAGAGAAAAGCTGCAGTCTATCATTAAAGACAACAGACAGATAGCAAACGTACACATACAGTAAATTATTTGCCATGTCTGGTAAATTGAAAGGACTTTGCTTAGTTCTGAGATTTCAAGCAACTTATTTACTGGCACTGATATGATTGCATTTTACAATCATGTTCAGTATCTGAAGCAGAACCATTAGGTCTCTCATGGCACAATCTGTTGCTATTTTTGCGAATACCAAGAAGTTGACCTAGCAGTGACAAAAAAAAAAATTCCAAAGGAATCCAGAGGACAAGGCTAGCGATAACTGTTCCTTGTCAAATGGAAATGCTGGACAAGATCCATCAGATTGGAAATGCTAAGAGAGGTTATAACACTTAATATAAAACTGATGGTTCTTTCTGGAGCTTTTGCCCTGTTTAATGTTCCCACAGCTGATACAAAGAAGCAGCTTTGTCTTTTCAATGATGAAGTGAAAGTAATGTGGCCTGAAAGCGTCCTGAATTTGTTGTACCAGTCCACCTAGTAATCAGGAAACATTTTAATGATATTTTAAAAACTCCCCCTTCTCCCCTTCCACATTGTATGAAGTCCTTCAAGTTAAAAACAGCAAATAAACTTTCATTAAATCATCCAGCCTACCTGTCAGTGCTCCTTGTTCAGAACAGCATATTTTGTACTGTGTTTTCTCCTTCCTTCTAATTGTGTCAAATGTCAAGGATTCCTTTTCTTCTCCTGAGAAATTAGTTTCTAACAAGAAGTTTCTGCCCAGAAGATTGTCAGATATCCAACCTTAATCCACTATTTTGTAATTTCCTGCTCTTGCACCTGGTTTTTCTCCCATGTACTGAGATAGATACGAGTCAGATTCTGCTTTTCTGATAAGTCCACAAAACATACCTACCCTATTTCTGCTTGTGATCTTGGCACTTTGCTCATTTCCAGACTAGATTTTGTAAGAGCATTTTTTAGTTCACTCTCAATTGAATGGACTGTGTGTTGTCTCAGCTTTTTATTATTGGGATAGTGTTTGAGGAAGAACTCTTTCAACTACTGTGTGCTGTATTATCTTGACCCTAAAGAGGTAGTATTCCCTAGATGAAACAGACTAAAAAGAGGAGAAAAAATTGTAAGGTATGAGCTGAGAAGTGTCATTCTCCCTGGCTTCCCATTCTTGCAGTGATTGATGGCAGACTTGCGTGTCCTGTGTGCTAAGAACCTTGTAGCTGAAAGCAAAACTTCTGTGACTCCTTTTGTCAGTAGTGACCTGATGATGATGATTCTCATTTCCATGCATTCAGGCATACCCCCATCATCACAGCTTTCAGTCGTGCTTTTTTACATATTCCAACCAGACTTATTTCTGACTCTCCCTACATTCTCTCTGGTTTGCCCATTTTGGAGAGTGTTGCAGCACTGAAGGCTGAGTGCATTTGTGCCTTTCCAGTGGTCAATCTATAGCCAGCACTACTGCTTTCCTGCTCTGCACAGCGCAGTGGTGTGCATGCAGCCAAAATTTATCCTCTGCTGCCATTCTCCCCTGTCTCCTCATCCCCCCCCCTTACCAGTGATAAAAATCTCCTCCAGAGCCATGTAAAGTATCTCAATAAAGGAACAAAATTCCACTGAATTGACTGCTGTTGCTGCTTTTTAATAGTACTTTGTTTTAATTTAATGGGAGAAAAGATACCTTGCAACAGGCAGAAATTAGTTTTCTCTGGTGTTAGAAGTAATAGATACATCAGATGACAGAAAGGTGTTGTAACCTATATGGATATATCTTAACTGACAGACAAAGTAAGTAATTACAATTTTCCACTTTTGTCTTGTTTTCCCCTATGTTACAAGACACTTTAGTGAATTTTCAAGTAGGCTTCAAATGTCTGTTTTCTAAATTATTTGCAAATGAATTGGCACCATTAGATAAAGGATTGCTTTAAACTACAATCAGTGTTTTACATCTATATGAATAATCAACAGGGACTGGAGCTGCCAAACATTGAGTACCACCTCCAAGCAAAATTTTGTTTTGTCTGACCAAGTGCCAGAACAGGAATATTTTCCTATTGTACATGCGATTTTGTAGTGATTTTTATAGTGATTGCCATCTCTATTTAATGCCTAAAAGAAGAGACTGGTTTGGCAACCAAAGGAAGCTGACCTCCACCTCAGTACATGCAATGTCCTGGCATATTATTCCATGATTCAGTTGTTTTGATCCACTGGATTTTAAATCTGACTGAATTGCATAAACATTCCTAGTTCACTGAGTTCCTGGTTAAATTATATAAATTATTATTGAGCGATTTTAAGTGAATTAAGTTATGGTCTACAAAGCAACAAGAATAGTTGTGTAATTTTACTGTTCTCTTCATGTGAAGTAAGAAAGAAAACTATTCAAGAATGGCTATAGCAAAAGGAAATTTGGTTTCCAACTATAAAGTAGCAGCTGGTTTCTTGGTGGTTTTTGTTTGTTTGTTCTTTATTTTTCTTTTTTAAAAATGTTATTCAGTCATGTTTTGTGGCTGACTTATCCTAGAATTAGGTGAGCTTGCTCTCAGTGGCAGGAGCTGTGTGCTTCTGCCATATCTGCTGCTGATCTTTGCAGGGCAGTTGAGATTTTAGGACTCCTACGACTTGCTGTGCTGTTGAAGTAAAGGCTAAGAAAGAGAATGATGCACGGTGCAGTCAGAGTGTTTATTTATATTGCCTTCTTTTATAATCAAACACTTGTACTGTTTTTATTTGTACAGTACTTTTTGTTAAACATCCCATCTTAAGACACCACTTAAAAGCATTCCTGAGTAAACAGAAGTATGTTTTAGTCCGTCTCATTTTCTGAGTTGACCTTGAGCACTCCTTGGAATGACCTTCCTCTGCAGCTCTGTGTGTTTAAATGCCAGAGTGAACATCCTCACTCATGCAACTCATAGCCTGTCCCAACCATACGAATGCTTACAGGGTTGAGATATAAAAGGCACATAACAAAGATTTGCTTTAAACTTGGCTAAAAGCAATAGGAACATAAAGCCATTAGCCTCAGTGTCATTTAGTAAGTCTCAACTTTTGAATAATCTTTGTCTCTTTCTTTAAATGATATTCTTATGACATTTCTGTGTATTTTTAATGCAAATAAAATTATTCTGAATCTGAGTGACACTTCAGCAGCTTGTAAGACAGCAGCTTGCGTAGGAGTCACCATCTCCTGCAGGTTCTTCAGAAATGGAGGCAAACATCAGCCCTATTAGCAAAGCAGGGCAAGTCATCTGACAGGCTCTCATCTCTAGAGGAAATATAAGCCGTCCTCTTCCTGAACTGTCCAAATATAATTTCTATGAACGTTTCTACAGTTTGTTGCCAGTGAAGTGCTCTGTGTTACTTGTCAGCTGTCTTGACTGGGTTTGCCACAGTTAGGCAGTAAAGAAAAGGCTTGGAATATGCTTGCTGAGTCCTTCAAAAGTGAGTGTGGTGGGCAGTGCAGTGGCAGTGTGTTGATTACTGTAAGGTTAACAAAACAAGTAAGAATTGGGAACAGTTCTTCACATGTTTGATTTCACTAAGTGCCATTTTGTAATTTTGTCTGTATGTAGAAATCTACATTGTACAGTTGTGGCCAATGCAATTGAGATTTCTTCCTTCTTTCGTGTTACAGGCCATCTCCCGCTTGTGTGAAGATAAATACAAGGACTTCAGGAAATCTGCAAAGAAACGGTCAGTCAGTGCTGACAATCTGACTGTGGTTAGATGGTCTCCTGCTATTATCTCCTAACAGAGGAGACTGGAATATTCCTATGGACGTACTGTTTCATCCATCCAGTTTTTTTGGGGTGGGTTGGGGGGGAGGGAGAGAAAAAGACTTCTGATTTTGTTTTTTTTTAAATCTGTCAAGCTGCCTTTACAGTGCCTCCCCATTGTGTAGCACACGAGTAAAGTACCTAGTGGGAGCCGAAGTGGAGAAGCCAGTGTTTGGAGAGAAGATGGGTGACAATTTCTTTCTCACTTTCACTAACAGCTTTACTCTTTCTATGAGGAAACAGCAAATCGGGTGCTTGGAAGTAGAAACAAAAAATGAAGTAGAGGCAGAAAAACTGTTTCAGAACTGTGCCATTTTTCAATGTGCTGTGCTTTTGAAGAGAAACGACAGCATGAAAATGAACCATGTAGTCAGATGACTGTGCACTAGAGGAGTGACGTTCGGAGAGTTCCATCTTAAATCTTAATATCTTTCCTAATTTTTATTTTTCCATTCCTCATTGCTGCTTCCCAGGAAAAATTCTTCCCCTTGCACAGCAGCAAATACCAAGTCTGTATTTACAGTAGCACAAGCCCCTGAATAAATAGTGTTGGTTTTTTTTCACTGCACTTTTCTCTGTTAGCTGTTGTTAGCATTATTCTTCATAATTATTATGCATATGTTATATTTCTCTTATGCCTTCTATTGTATTTCAAAAGAGAGAACTTGACCATAGTGCTGAACCAAAAGTGTGTACAGGGATCAGAAGATCATTCATAATTTCATGATGTGTTTTATTTATAGTATACTTGGGTGTGTGTGCCTTCCTAAGTTCTTGGAATCAATTATTTTTCCTTAATGCAAAGATACAGTTGTTAAAGTATTCAGATGATGACAGTTATAAGACTTGGGCCAAATATCTGAAATTTGCAACAGTTCTTGTGATCCTTTTTGCAGATTTTCATAGCATTAGAAGTTTAGCAGAATTCATGTAGAGACAGATTTGTTTTGTATGGCCTAGACTAGTTCATTCATTCACCTCCAGGTCCATGGTTGCAAGCAATATTCTCAATTTGTATGTGTTTACTTTAAAACAGACTGTTTGTATAAAATAAAAAATAATTTTATAAGCTTCACTGAGAAGGCCTATAGAAGAACAGAATACACATTTTAACAAGGTACTTCTCACAAGTAGATTTGGTTTTGAAGCTAAAATGCAAACCTTCATATTTTTTTCAGTGTAGGCGCTTATAGAAATTAAAAACAACCAAACCGTGAACATAATTTTCAACTCTAATTATTAAGCTGTTCTGTTGTGGTTACTAGTTCCTTCTTACCATGGCTGTTGCCCCCTTGGGCAATAAGAACTTCATTTTTATTTTTATTTTTATTTTTATTTTTGTTTTTATTTTTGTTTGCGTAGTTTAGAAAGATAGGGTTGAAAATGCTCAGTTCCCTGAAATTCTTTCTTTGTGACTGTCACTGAAGTGAGTGGCAGCAGACTTCCCTGATGTATGCACTACTGTGGTAAACCGAAAAGATTCCATATTTATTTTCATTAAGCCCTATGGGCTTGTAGCAAACCTAGAGGCCCTGAGAAGCACCCTTTGCTTCACTGCAGTGCGGATCGGATGCCTCCAGGTGAAGAGGCACTAGCAGGATTGAAGTAGTGATACCAAACAGTTTCTGTTAACCTTCTAATGTGATTTGCGTGGTTTGTGACATGAAGGTTTTGTCTGTAAATTCTCCTGATGTCCTTTGGGCCTTGAAAATACCTAATTCTCATCATTGTTGTGCCAATGCATTGGAACTGTGAGTCTCCAAGTCCATTTTTTCCTTGAACATGGAATGTAAGGAAAGTATAACAATACAAATGCCAATGAAAGCATTTGAAACCTCTTTACAGGTGATATCAAAAGGAACGTTTTCAAAAATTTGTCCTTTTCAGCATAAATTTAGGCTTTAAAATATGTAAAATATTTTGATTTATCAACACTTTGCTAAACTATTTTCCATTTAACTTGATATCAGGAATATTGATTTTATCCATTTCCGGGCGATAGATATATGAACTTTGGATTATGTAAAGATCTCAATGCATCTTCTATAATTTTTGTGAAGTTTATTAAACTACTTTAAAGATTGTATAGTCTATTTATTGTATGTATGTACATACAGTCTGATACTTTAAAAAGTGGATTCCGTAAAACCTGGCTCAGTCTTGTTTAGACTATTGAATATCGTTTTAGCCTTGTGCACTGGACTCTACCTCTGTATAGGAGAATTTTCCATATTCTTAATTAGTCCTGATTCTGTGATTAACTTGGTTATGTTTCTTGCACTAAGAATTAAAAAAAAAATCTGCTGTAAGTGTGGATTTTTTCTTTAAGTTTTGCCATATGAATCCTCTACATGTAAATGGATGTTTCTTTCCCTCGTGATTATAAAATAATTCTTTGCTTTTCCTCCTGGTTTGTTCCAAGTTTGCCAAAAAAACCAACAACCAGTACCTGTCAGGAAATCTGAATAAGTGTCTTTTGTTTGCAAGGTATTCTATGCCATGTAATTAAAAAATGAATTATTATTTAGGATTATGTTGTGTTTAGTGGAGTTTTTTAAGCGTTGCTATATGGAAAATGCCATTGCAAGATTAGAGTCACCCAGAGCTTGAGAAATGAGGTTGAACCAGACAGCATTTTCATTGATAGCAGAAGTAAATTGTGGTTTTCATTTCAGAACTCAAAACAAAATTTGCTGTAAGTGTTTTCTGGATGAAGGTTTTCACTATTGCTTTGGTCACCAGCTCAGAAACAAAAAGGTGTGGGTGACATATTAAACATGTCCCTTCAAGTGCCATTGTCGTAATGAGTCATTTTCCTCTGTTGAGCCAGTGGGGCACTGGGTTTGTTGCTTATGCATTGATAATTGGATAAATATTTGAAAAAGGTTTCTTCTAAGAGTTGGGTTTTTTTCATGCATCCCTCTGCAGGCTGGAGATGTTTCCCTAATTCCTCTCTCCATCTGAAGACTTATTTATATTTCATTCTATGTTTCTTTTATGTTTTCTTGTCAGCTGTACACTTCATTCTGATGGACGCTTTTGAGACTGAGAATCTTGGAGTCGTGATGAAGTGCAGATAAAAGAAAAACTACAAGAAACATTTTCCCCTTTCATAAGCCCTATCAGTCTTTTGAACGATGCACATTTATTAACAAAATGCAAAATCCAATAGCAGGGTAATGGGGTCCTTTTCAATAACTGTGTTTTTTTAATTTGCTTCTCAGTCTTTATGTGAGAGAGGAAAAGATCAGCATGTGTAGCTTCATTTACCTTGTAGTAGTTAGCTGAGTTTATCACATAAAGTAAATGCGTGATGGGAGACCTGCTCAAGTGTTTTTGAAATCTTAGTTCAAGCTTTATTTTTTATTTAACACCTCTTTCTCTGTTTCCCAGCTTTGTTAATGCTGCAAACTTTAGGTACAAACTAAAGGTTAGAAGGAGCAAAAGTCTCGTCAGAAAAGAGTGACAGTGTATTGGTGGCAGATGACAAAGTGACATCTGGGAGTGTTGGCTACATGTAAAAATAGCAGTCTGTGGGAGGGGACAGAGGAATTGAAATGACAGAACAGACAAAAAACAAAGCTTTAGCAGCTGAAGCAACAAATTATTTACAGCAATCCTTTGCTGATAATGAGCACTGCATTTTCCTTTGACAAGTTTCAGTTACTAATTAGGGTGCTGCCCATCCGCTGCAAACTCATGTAGCGCTCTGCTTCTCTGAGGCACATTTAAAGAATTTACTCAACCTGGCTTTTAGCACTTTCTCACTACTGTTTCAGACATGCTTCTGCAATCTGATTTTTGTTTTTATTTTTAACTTGAATCCATAGTTCTTGAAAACACCTACCTACCTCTGCAGTGGAGTGCCCATTTAGTATCTCTAATATGTTCTGAGAAGACAGTGCAAGTTTGGACACTTCTCTGTGATTCTCTGTGATCTATTAAGAAATGTTAGTAGCTACATCTGAAGCATGCAGCAAGTATCTTTCTGCTGTTTGCTTTTTCTCTTTGCCAACTGAACTGCATCTTGAGGAAACCACAGAACTGGTGAGAGTTGGAGTTGCCTCAGCTTACAGGTACTGATGGAAGATACGTAACAGCTGCTGATAGGAGAAAACGCTTTAAGAAAGGAAACAAAATAAGAAGAGCAGCTGATTATAATGATAGTTTTGTTGTATATGAACCTGCTTTTCTTAGTCCTCTTTTAAGAATCTCCAAGAAGCAACTGGTAAATCCCAGAAATACTGTTTGAAAAGTAAAGCCAAGAAAGCAATGCTTGGCTTAACTTCTTTTGTCTGGGCTTAGGTCATCAGGCACAATGGGCAGGAAGGCACTTTTAAGAAAGGCAAGTGGCAAAGTGGTATTAATAGGCTGTTCCTCTTGCATTTCTTTTTGAGTGATTGGTCTGATGCAATTTAATGTAAATGAGGGTGGCTTTTTCTGTGTGTGCCTGTTACACCATATGTAATATGCTTCAGCATTTTTGGGGCAACTTTAAACTGTGTTTTAGTTGGGGATACTCTGGTGATGACATGCTAAGCACGCTGCTTGCTCTGGTGATAGGTGATCACGCACTTACATTTCCCATATGAGCTGTTCAAAACCTCTGTGAAGACTTCGTAAAGCTCTCTCAAGACACTGGGCAGAATCAACTGTGAAGATGTTTATGATTTCCACAGACTGAGAGCAACAATTAACCATTAGCAACAAAATGTCAAGTTGTACTTGTTGAACTTTCATTGAACAATGAAAGATACAGAACATGTTTTTTTGGAGTGCTATGGTAACTAAAGCAATAAAATTTTATTGGTAGACCTTGCACTTTTTCCCCTTTGGAACTGGCAGTGAAGCACCTGCTTCAAAAGTATATGAAGATGTAGGTGGCTTGCTCTCCTCAACGAGGCATTAGAATAAAAGATTTCCTTTGTGTAAGAGATCCTGTGACACACTTTGAGTCTAAAGCTAATTCTTCTCTTTGTGCCCCTTTATTTTAAATATTAGTACAAGTTATTCTGTATGTAAACAGCATGTTGGCAACTGGCAGCTGTGATATACTTGCTGCCTTCTATTTAAATGATACTGATGATCCTGTGATCATACTCCTGTGTTTCATGTCTTTCAGGCATTCTAAGCATTCTTCTGTAGAAACCAGAGGGGTCAAAAAGATGGAAATTGGAGTGCTATAAAGGTTAGAAAGAAAAATTAGGTGTGTGGGTAGTTTAATATAAGGAAATAAGAGGATAAATGTATTTGCATCTCCTGCAGTGCTAATAAATAAGGATGTTAATGATGCTTTGAGTAGCTTGACGATGATAGATTTCTTGGAGAAGCAGATTGAGGGTACAGCTGTTTTCTTTAAAACACACAGGATGTGCAGATTGTATTGCCATAAATCCTAGAAGGAGGAAGACCATGTTGTACTGAGCAACATCTGAGTCTTGAATATCCTGCATTAGAATTGCAGTATTTACCTCAGTGTTGAGTTGCAATCTGCAGTTTTTCTATTTCAGACTTGTTTAATTTCAGACGTAAAATGAATTCTCCTTGACAATTTCATTGTGTGTGGGCAGCTATTTTCGGTATTAACTGCGTTAGATGAGGAGTTTTTATGGTATCTGGTAATAGAAAAAGCATTATTTAAAGTGTCATTTGAACCTGTTTGCTCCCCTGGAGAGAGCATTTGTCTGGGCTCTGCAGCTTGCTAAGAGTAGGTAAACACAGTGGTGCAAGAGCTTGTTTTTTGGAACCATCCCCTCTGTGTTGTATCATGAATCTGGGTCCATGTGCTCCAGCCTCCACTCACACAGGGTTCCCCAGAGCACATTACCCAGGCCCACTTCCAGGCAGCTATAGAAGAGCTCTGGGGAAGGAGAGCACAGGGGCCAGTGCTCCATCACACATGCAGCACAGAAGAAAAGAAGAGGAAAGTGCATTTTTACAAATTACTGTTTTTACAGGAGAAGATGGCTGGAGCTTTAATTTCTTCAGCAGACTGCTACTGGCTTGTTTTCAGTGTTTTCATAAAATGTGCCTAAAAACAAGCGTGGTGTAGTGCGTTTTCTTGAGTGCTGTCCCTCAGGATTTGCACAGGACCCCCCAAATCACTTTTTAAGGTATTCTCATGACATCGGGCTGCAGCAGAGCTGTGCCAAGTGATGGCTGCAAGGCGTGGGGCTGAGGCCAGCCTGCATCATTGGGCACACCACAGGGCAGGCCTGGAGTCATGGCTGTTTGTCCGTCGTGTTGCAGAGACCCCACTGTTCCCCACGGTGTATGGCAGCTCTTGATGTGCCCACAGACCTGTGGATGGGGTTGTGATGTTTTCACACAGGCCAGGTCTGCCCTCCAGCTACAGCAGTTGTGTCTGCACTAGCAGCACTGCCAGCCTTACTGCCAGATTGCTGCTAACCGAATGTGGATATTACAGCAGGAATTGTGAAACCTTTTTTGCAGCACGTACATTGGTTTTGGACTTGAATTGAAGCAGCACAAGGCCAGCAGCACTAGTGGAGCTGGAAACTAACTGGTGAATCGGACTGCCTCAAGGCAAGAAGAGCAAGAAGAGCACGTTAGTTGAAGTGCAGGTTGCTGTTCCCTGCTCTGAGCTTCTGGCAGTTTGGGGTAGGAGTTAATGCAGATTGCTCTTCCCAGACTCCACAGAAAGGGGTCTTGGGGGTCTGCCATAAGGTACTAAATGGGGCAAAGTTTGCTAAACAGCAAGTGAAAAAACCTCTAAGTCCCTAAGACTAAAGCTCTCAGGAACATGGTTATTTGCAGCAATTTTGAAGATCCAGCATTAGGCTGGATGTCAGTGCATGTCAGTGCAGAGCAGGTGGAAGGATGCACTTAGCAGTTCTGTTTTGTCAGTGCTACCAGCATGAAGGCACCAGGCATGCGTGCCCCATAGAGTGGTCAGAGCACTGCAGCAGAAGGATGGGCTGCATTTCTTTCCCCGTGCCTAAATGGTCCTGAATAGGACCCCAGGTCAACCTTCGTTCCCACTAATGGCATGGCTTCCCTTACTGCCAAATCTCCTTCTTGCTTTGATCTGCCTCAGGTGTTGGCAAGGCATTCTCACCAGTTGTCTTTTGCTCTCTAAAACAGCAGAATAAATCACTTTGGATCCATGTTGCTCCTTTTGGATTATGGTAAGATTTTAAATGAGAGTCAGTACTGCACTCCTATTAATTTTACCAACACTGAGGAATGTGATATTTCTCTTTGAAATGAAAATCCTGCTTGATATAATACATTAAACATGAATTCTATCACAATTTAACAGGAGAGTTCCTCCTGTCCTGCCCAGAGT